AAGTGGTGAAATTATGTGTGCTATAGTAACACCAACAGGTATAGCCGCATTTAATGTAGGCAGACCAACAATACACAGTTTATTTCAGCTACCAATAGAGCATGATGGAAAGACAGCTAGATATTGGGCTTTGAGTAAAGAAGCTCAGAAAAGAATAAAAATGACACTTAAAAATTTAAAAATTATAATAATAGACGCAGTATCTTCGGTATCCAATCTAAATCTAGCATACTTACACATGCGCTTAGAAGATATAATTGGTACTGCTAAATGGTTTGGATCGAAAAATATTTTATTTGTAGGCGACCTCTTACAATTGCCACCAGTTAATGGTAGACCAGTATTTAAATAAATTAGCAACAAACTAGTACAAACTAGACTTGGAGTAGCAAATGCAGTTAACATATGGAAAGAAACATAGAATATATTGAACTAACAATCAATGAGCGACAAAAAGGAGACGAAACTTTCTTTACGATGCTTGATTCTGTTAGGCATGGCTGTCTGACTGATGAAACTATTGATACGCTTAATAGTCGGGAATTTAAGGTTCTGATACAAGAAAAATATAAGGAATTGGAAAGTGAAGGAACAAATCCTCCAATTTCCCTATTTTCTAAGGTAGACGCCTGCCAAAAAATCAATGAATTAATGTTAGAAAGTCTAGAAACTGAGAAAATAGAATTGATGTTGTTGATGAAAGTGGCAGCACAGCAAAAACAAGAAAAAAAATTAGAGAAACTTAAAGATCAACCAAGAAAACACCTGGTTTAGAAACTGTATTGTCTTTAGCAGTAAGCTGTAGAGTAATGCTAAGACGTAATTTTGATGAGACTGTAGGATTCGTTAATGGTGCCATTCGTACAGTAATGGGTATTTATGCTACACGTATATCAATCAAATTTGATCACATTGATGTACCTTGTGACATAGAAAGGGTTACATCTAGATTTATGCTATCTAAGAATTTGTATATACAATGGAAACAGTTTCCCCTTATACTTTTCTACGCTATTACTATACATAAATGCTGCTTTATCTACTGATGTTTTTGGGGATGGTATGGCATATGTTGCATTGTCTCGTGTATGCACATTGAATGGATTACATTTATCATCATTTGATCCTCACTGTTAAAGTTAGTAATCCGTGCATTAATGAAATTAACAGGCTGAGAAGTAAATTTCGAAGACACCTCAAATCAAGAAAAGTCAAGGAAACAAGTAAAAAATTCAAGTGACTGGTATAATTGATGATGGTGAACCTTGTAGTAAGAATGCCAAGGTGTCTGTAAATCATGTACAAAGTACTAGTAACAGTACCGTTCGTAGCAATAAACGTAAAAGTACTGATATACAAGTCTAATTGCCCCAAAAAGAATAAAATATGTGATGATAACGTTTGAAATAAGCCTTGCATCCAAAAAAGAAAAGTTGATGTAGACAGTAGTGCTGAAAATAGTGCTTTTGCATTTCCTCGCCCAAAAACATATGATAAATTAATTTTTTCAATTAATTTGAAAAACCTAAGAACAAAATTTAATGTCAAAGATGAGGATAGTTTTAGTAGTCTCATTGTATCTATAAAACTCTGAAACATTAAATGTAAACCAGAAGATGATAAAACCAAGTGTGTTGTAAAAATTGACCATTGTAGTAGTGGTCTGATTGTATCTATAAAACTCTCAAGCATTAAATTAAAGACAAGTAATCCAAAAAAACATGATGTCATCTTTACTTATGAAGAGCCACCCAACCCAGATAATGTTAGGAGACAAAGTGATTATATTTATTACCCTGCTAATGAAGAAGTTCAAAGAAGGTGGCGTGAGATATTGAACCTTAAGTTTGTAACAGCTGCTAGAATCTTACCTGGCAGTCCAACAACACCTTTGTCAGATGAAAGAGTTCCTAATAGATTATGAACTACATAGAGCAATTGTTAGTAATATGCCAAAGCCAAACTTTGCAGAAGAATTGTTTAATAGTACATTAAGTGCAACCAGATATTCAAGCATATATGATTACATAAATAAGTCAAAAATGTATAGAAATTATGTGTGGGCCACTGACACAGAGATTATTACACTAACAGCATTATTAGGTGTAACCATATATTCATATTCACTCACTCCTACTTTTGTTGGCTGGGCTAGATATAGATCCCAGGAGTTGTAAGGCATTCTTTGTGATACTACTACACCTGCTTTGTAATTGAAGCATGTTGGTACTAATCATTTGCAAGCAGTTAAGTCTATTAATATTTCTTAAGCATTAATTGTTGATGGAAGTATGGTGAATGGGAGGTCCATCATTTTTGAAACATTGGTTGTTTAATGTGACTTTTATTTCACTGCATGTGCAATGTGAGTGTGTGAAAACCAGTGGTGCATATCCACCCATTATTGCCCAGTATAAAGTGACCAAACTGCATTCAGGATGTGAGATTAATCAATGTATAACAGTGAATATTGATTACTTGTTGCTATAATTGACAGGGAGAGGGTGTGAAAGAGGTTTACTGTTCATTAGAGTTTAGCATTGATTCAATTTTGTGTGACTATTATTTATGTAGGACAGAGGTTTAGGAAGGGAGGAAGCTGTCATTTTCAATTCCCGATCTTGTTTGTGGCTTGTACTACATGTTTATAACAAGTGTCAGGTGCTTATGGATCAAGGGCACTGCTGACATATTTTGAAGGACAAGAAAAATTTACAGTAGCAATAAAAGTTCTCATTATACATGTAGTATCATTCAAACAGTGATTTGGTACATATAATAATGATCATCATACATGTCAATGCTGCCATCAATGCTGTGTGCATTACATATATGTAAATGCTTGCCAGCTGATGTTGCGCATAATGCTGCCATCAATGCTGTGCGCATTATTAAGTTAATGCTTGCCAGCTGTTGTTGCGCATCATTTGTTCATGATTGTTGTAAATATGTGCATGTTCACATTAACAAAAAATATTGTTTGCACATTGGAAATTCTTCATGTGCACACTGTTATTTTATATTAAGCAGGTCATGAAAGTATTTTAAATGAGGATATCATTAGTAAGCAATATTATGTCTAAAATGCATGCCATCTATGATCCAATCAGAAGCATTGTTGATGCTACCATTATCATTATTAGTTAGCATGTCACATACATACTTTTTATAGGTACTTATGTACTTGGCACAAGGACTACAATGTGGTGTTAAAGAGTGAGGTTTGATGTGATTGTTAAGTTCTATAGTTATTATTAGCCTGTGAGTTTACATTGCTTGCTTTTCATATGTTTATATTACCATGCTGTAAAGGTAATTACAGCTGGAAATGATTTGCTGTTTCAACAATATTTTTGCTTCATATTGGAATGTAAAATATAATTAAAAGCAATTCTGGATTTAGATTGTTGAAACTAAATTAATTTTCTAATGTTTTGTTGCAGCTCCTTGATCAGTAGTTCTTATCATGCAGTAGTAGGTGTCAATTTACATCTGTATAGGTTTCATATTATTGTAGTCTTAGCAATGTAATATGTAGTAAGATTGAGAGTATTGTGAGATGTCTTATGTATTTTTGTTATAGGTTGTGATTCTAGGTAACATACTGTAGAATAGTTTGATTATTATATCATTAATAATGGCCACAGTAAGTACTTTTTTTAGTCAATATAAATGAATGCTTGCCAATGCATCTTTTGTTGTGTGCCATTAACAATACAAAAATAATTGTTTGCACATTATGATGCATTCATGTGGTCTATTAATGTGTATTTCCACAATGCAGGTCTCGTAAAAGAAACTTAATTCAGGATGGCAAGAGTCAGCAAATTGAACAGTGTATGTCTAAATTACATGTACAGTGTATGTCCATAAACATGTATGATTCAATCAGAGCTTAATATGCTTTGTGGAGCTATACATGACATATATGTATATTAATTGCATGTATTCTACTGTAAATTTGTTACTACATTTATTAATTCACATTCATAATTTGCACAGGTACATATTTTATGCAAGAACTGCAATGTGGTTTTAAAGAATATGGTCAGACTTGGAAAGAGATTTAAAAGGTGAAGGTTTATGCCTCTTTTTGAGCAGATATATCTTTTTAGTGGTTTGTAATGTATGTTTGTGACAAATGTAAGTTATATCATGCATATACATGTACATATTTAGTATAGCATATATATCCTGGGTGTTTACATTGCTTGCTGTTGATGATGTTTCCTTTTTACTTTGATTTTAGGTATTTACAGCTGCAAATGATGTAATGATTCAGCAATAAGGTGTAATGCAATACTTTCATACCATCGTGAATGTATAAGGCTATTGTCTGATTTTGTTTGTGGTAACTAAATTTATTTCTAATACTAATCATCATTGTAACATTATGCTTCATTGTAGCTATTTCATCAGTTGTGCTTTCACACTGAATGATGGGCCAGTTTCCAGCTGCACAGGTTTCATATCGGCATAGTCTTAGTAATTGAATACATAGTAAGATACAATATTGTGAAATTCCATAGTTTTTTATTGTTGTGTTATAGATTATGATCCAAGGCTATAATTCTTCTGATGATTATCTCATTAATTATGGCCACAGTTACAGTAAGTATTTTCTTTACTCGTTATTATAAGTTACGTATATCACATTGTAGGAAGATTGAAGCTTAAATATTCAAATTGTTTTGCCTTGTTGAACACTATTAATCTTGAGCATTTCTATTGTAGTTTTTAATTTGGCTTTACGCTGAAAGATGTTTGACATTTTATCATGTTATGATTAAGGAAAAATGTTATCTTTTTACACGTAGATCTAATTAATAAAAGGTATAGTTCTTAGTATAGGTGTTCCTCCTGTCCCTACGGCCTCTTGAAGGCCTGGCTCTTGGAATATTATTATACTAAAGTGAAATGGAGAGAGTTGATTAAAATGGTACTGCAGAATATTTCTAAATCTTACAATTTGACAATTAACTTGGCGAAGTTGCCAAATGATGTTTTGTCTCTGCTGCTGCAGAGCTGCCATTCCTGGTGGAGTTGCAGGAGGTGGCAGGCATCCAGGTAAAGGGATTGCTACTGGAGGTGGCGAGCCTCCTGGAGGTGGTGGTGGAGGCCCTCCAGCTACTGGTAGTGCTGGAAGTGGCAGGCCTCCAGCTACTGCCGGTAGTGCTGGTTGTGGTGGCGGGCCTCCTGGAGGTGGTGGTAGAGGCCTTCCATCTCCAGCTACTGGTGGTGCTGGAGGAGGAGGGCATCCAGCTACTGCCGGTAGTGCTGGTGGTGGTGGTGGGCCTCCTGGCGGTGGTGGCGGAGGCCCTCTATCTCCAACTACTGGTGGAGGAGGAGGAGGAGGAGGAACTCCATCATTCTCATCATAATCCATAAACTATCAAAAAATAAGAAAATATATTAATGGCTAATGTAAGTTTGTAACTGAACTGACTTGCTTCTTTTTCAAAAAAGTTGCAAGACTTCATTAATAGTTTAGTTGAGAGCTGTATTCAGACTGCAGATATTGCCGGAAAAATGGCACTTGAAGCTGAATGTAAACTTAAGTAGTTTCAGAACAGGAAATAGATTTTAGTAATGCATGGTAAAAATGATTAATTATTATGAGCTAGGCTATGAATATAATTAATGATTCAAAAATTCAAAAAAAATGATTGTATAAAAACTGTTTTTATAATGCAGGTCTTGCTTTGTTCCTTATTTCAAAATTCTTTTCTTCAAGTAATGAACTGATACCAATGGAAAGATTATAATTATCAATAAAAAGAATTATTAATTTATAAAAACTAATAAAAAGTATGAAAACAAATAAATAAAAAAATTTCTATTAAAGTAGGGTGGTCAAAAAAGGAAAGAAACAAGGGGGTTGAGTTTAACCATAATAACAATTCTTAGTTCAATTATTATTAATAAACTGTTATGAATAAAAAAATTGTTATTCATAAAAATAATACAAATATTTCAACCCTACTTTGCAGAATTTTATGGAGTATTGATTCCTTTAACATGACAAATTTTTAATAAAAGAATGACAACCCAACTGCTTAGTTTCAGCCTACACAAGCGTGGCCAGTCCAATGACAAACCTATGAAGGACAAAGATTAATTTTTAATTTTGTATTGTGGTACTGAATCACAAGCATTAAAGAATGTAATAGCAAAATAACTAATCCATAATTTAGATGTTTTAATTGTAATGACACGTAATCTATTCAATCAATAATTGCTGAAAGGCTTAGTTATATCTATGACAATATTTATTATTAATTTACATCATTGCAATGTATAGTAGAGCAATCAAGAGGTATACCTATATATATATATATATACAAAGACAGATTATTATTAAGTTATAATTCTATCCACATTTTATTAGAATATCATTTTCTGCAAAGTATTGTTGAAATTTTTGTATTATTTTTAGGAATAATTTTTTTATTCATCACAGTTTATTATTATATAGGCGGTAGCCTATATGTAGGGTTGAGGCTGATTTTTCAAGATGGCGACCAAATTTATAATTTTCAAACGCTTTTATCTCTTTTATCTTACCTTGTACAGCCTTATAAACCGCTTAGATAAGTTCTCCTTCGCTGAGCAATTCTCTTGGTACCTTTAAAGTGGAGTGTAATGTAGCGATAGCAATTCTGGAGAATAGGCCCAAATTCAAATTTCTGCAAAATTATTCAGACTTTTTCTTCTTTCTTTCATCTTTCTTCTATCAACACGGAAATCTTTTAAACTAGAGAATGGCTTGCAATGGCTTTTACATCATTCCTTTGAGCTTGGGTCAAGGACAAGACAAGTGCTTGTATTATCTTAATTAGTTTAAGTTTAAAAACTAATTATTTGGGCGTGATTTATCACACCCCTCTGTTTCAGACGCCATTTTAAAATTAAATGCGCATGCGCAAAGTTTCCATAGCTACATTACTGTGTGGTAGACTGCTCGCTTTATTCTTCTCTCGGTCTTTGCTGAGGTTAGACTTACTTGCAAGGAGTACCCACTGCTCAGACTAAGAGAACACCAGTTCTTTTAAGAGCTAATAGGTAAGTAATTCATTAATTTAACTGTTAAATTTAAGGTTCATTTTAAACTAGAGGTTACAACTGCTCAGTATTAGCTAGTCAAGTTATTTCATAGTAGTTAGCTGCTTTTGAAGTACTGTGTTGTATTCTTTTTGGTACTGCAAAAAATTGAGATAAGTGTTTTACAATGATAAGTAGCAG